CTTCGTCATCCTCAAACGTTCCAAATTGGAGGAAACACACGAACTAATCAACAGTGTGTTCGATGGCATCCAATTCACCAGGGAGGAGGAGAACAACGAACAGTTACCATTCTTAGACGTTCTCATACGACGGACTGGTGCTGAACGATTGGAAACAACAGTCTACCGAAAATCTACGCATACAGACCAGATCCTCAACTACGGCAGCAATCATCCGGCAACCCACAAACGCAGCTGCGTGCAAACCCTTTTCCAACGAGCACAAACCCAATGTAGCACACCGCAGCTGAGACGGGCAGAGGAAGATCATCTCTTCAACATGTTCAAGCGGAACTCGTACCCAAAAGGCTTCATTCTACGCTGCCTCGCATCACAAAAGGTTACTCAACACACCTCGACAAATGTACCAGCTGAAAAGAGAACAACACTTCCCTATATCAACGGTATCTCTGAAATGGCAGCGAGGCCTTTATTGCCTTTTGGAGTCAAAGTTGCACACCAGCCAACAGAAACCATCCGCAGTAAACTCTTCAAGGTGAAAGATAAACTTAGCAAAGAAGAAGAAACTGGTGTGATTTATAAGATCTGCTGTCGGAACTGCGACAAGTACTACGTGAGACAGACTGGGAGAACGCTTGGCACAAGGCTACACGAACACAGCCTAGCCATACGTCGCCACGATCAGAACTCCCTGATGTCAGTGCACATGGATGCTGAGAACCATCAATTCGACATAGAGCATACCAGTATCCTCGGAAGGGCCAAAAGCCGGCAAGCACATGAGTTCAGTGAAGCCTGGCATTCAAAGCAGAACTCGATCAATAAGCACTTGGACATTGAAGTCGCTTACGAGGCACTGCGAACCAGGCCCCTGAAACCGCACTGATGATGTTGCCTAGTCAGGCAACGAAACGTCTGCACAATAATCACTCAGCTCGGAGAACCGCCCAAAATCCGCATCCACACCCTGAGCTACGCATATTCTCATTTATTTCATAAGATCTTAATCACCTTAACTTCAGATGATTGGAAAAACTTGACTTGTTTTGATGTTTCAGTAACATGGCGAGTACCGCGTCATCCGCTGACTTTCAGTTGGAGAGTACCACGCCCAGTGGCGGCTACCTGTTGCTTCCAAACGGGGACAAAACCGGTCGTGGAGTACTGTGTTGTGGCAGCGAGTAACAGCGAATGCTCTCCACTTCGGGCACGGTCCCAGTCATGGTAGCCACCGCGTTCTATTTCAAAGTGAACAGATGTCCAAACAGTGAATGCTTATCGTCATCCAAACAAACACAGCTGACAATGGGATCCCAGCGCTAAATCATGCGCTTTCTTATTATTTGAGCATACTGGCTCACAAAAACTGCGCATCAGAATTATGAGTAAACAGTCAATTCCTTTAGGCATCCACATTAGTGGAGCATCCGGGCCATTGTTCCTCAGAGATAAGGGGTAGGCCATAAGCAAAAGACGTCTACCTTGTATTTCATTGTTCACCGGCCAGCTTCTGAATAGGTGTAGAAGAGACCTCGCAGTATCTCCAGCCTGAGCGCGTGACTGGTGGTGGTCGCGTGACAAAGAAGCGTTGGTATGACGTGCCGGAGTACTCCTGATGTCCTATTGTTTTTCTAAATATCCTTATACGTAGTACTGGGTAGAGCATAGAGGACGCATTTGGGATAGGAAGTTGTGGCCCTAGCATCTGTCGTGAATGGTTAACATGAGCTATGGCCTGTCGGGCAATACACGTGACACTCGTGTTAATATAACTGTTGTCATCAAACGGACCATGACTTTGGCCGTGTGTGCACATCCCGTCCGTGTCTTTTGTCGTATAGTGTAGAAGAAACAAGAATACTAATCGGTAACGAGCCAAAAGTGGACCACTTCGACAGCTCAAACATAGGGAGTACTCTTTGGAGTCTCAGTTGTATGTGGTCTAGAAATAGCTACAGGTTCCTCGTGCGCCACACAACCTCCAAGAGAGAGTGCAAAGGTGGGTAGAGCGGTTGGTGCAGATAGCTGATATTTGTCACAACAAAAATACTTTATTCAAGAAATGAGTCATTCCAAACTGTCACACGAACTGTCATTTGAGCACAGTTACTGGATCTGGCCGTTGGAATGGCCTTCTGAGTCAGACGAAGCGGAACATGGTGCTAGGGTGAAACCTTAGTAGTAATCCGCTGACAAGTAAAAGATTCGAACATTCTATACATCATTCTGAATGTGAGAAATGCCTAATTGTAGCAGGCTTTGTGGCTACTTCCATAGCACTACTCGCCTCCAAACTTACTCACCACTGCGACGGTGAACAACCACATGAAAACTGCGGCTGTTGAAGCAGTTTGGAGAGCTCAGGTTCCCTAACCAACAACTGGACTTAAATACCTTGCACACAAGCTGGTGGCATGTGGGAGAAGGCAGATTTTGCTTCGGTGCTGGTCTACACTCCCCCATCTGCTTAGGCTGACGTAACATTTTGGGGATATACCTATATACTCATGAGTAGGAGATTTTTGTATCATTAATTGAGGTTCTTCGCAGCCAGATTCCAAATCAGATAGTCGTCCACATGGCAGGAAAAGCCCTAGATTGCAGTTTCAGCCAGTTGGGCATCGCCAGTAGTGTGCATCCATCGGATCCACCAGGATTCGAACCCATGACCACCTGCGGCTTGAACGGCCAGTTAGCAGCATATGCCACTGCGCCACGGAGGACTGCTTCGGACCGTCATGATTTACAAGCTAACTGCGATATAGCGCGTCTTATCCTCCACTGCCATGCAAGTTTCGAACGTTGCAGAGATCAGGGTTGGTTCCGAAAGACATGACGTCCACTGACTGTAGCCATGTACGACATAGCACTTAGAAAATGTTAAGGGGGATATATTTAGATGTACACATGGATAGGGGTTTATGATAGAAATAGCGTATTTCCATCACAGTCAGCTTTCAAATCAGAGAGTCCTCCAGATGACCGGGAAAGCACTAGACGGCAGTTTCAGCCTGTTGTGCATCGCCCGTAGGGCACATACATCGGATCCATCAGGATTCGAACCAACGACCAGCTGCGGCTTGAACCGCCAGTCAGCAGCTTATGCTAGTTTGGGCCACGGAGGACAGCTTCGGACCGTTATGATGTACAAGCTAACTGCGATATAGTGCCTCTTTCGGGGGCAACCTTGTCGTCTGCAACGTTCGAAACTTGCATGGCAGTAGAGGATAAGACGCGCTATATCGCAGTTAGCTTGTAATTCCTGCCTGTCCGAAGCTGTCCCCCGTGGCGCAGTGGCATAAGTTTCTGACTGGCGGTTCAAGCCGCAGGCGGTCATGGGTTGGAATCTTGATGGATCCGATGGATGCACACTACTGGCGCTGCCCAACTGGCTGAAACTGCAATCTAGTGCTTTTCCTACCATGTGGACGACTATCTGATTTGGAAGCTGGCTGCCAGGAAACTCAATTAAGAATATATCAGGCGTGCACGGGAAGCTAGGTGAGCCATTCCCCGCGATGTCATGGGGACAGTGTATTCCGTCCGTCGCAACAACGAAAGTGCCTCCCCTTCCCAGAGCCAAACTAGTGACTAGTAGCTAGCTGATAATCACTCGTATCTCTCAAAATGAATTGTGTGTGCCCATGACAAAACCAAGCTCCCATGATTATGACGATTCCGTAATGTTGGATAACCAAACACAGTAAAGTTTCTCATTATTAGAACTTGGAATGTAGAGTAAGATTACTAAGGAGCTTTCGAATAAGACACCGGAATGGGTAGGGTGGACGTATCAGGCGTTGACGAATCTTTAGCGATTCTAACAAAGTATGCTGCTACTACAGGAGTTCAGATATAACAGCAGTTCGAGCGAAGCATCCGATTAGAGTGCCGTCTAGACTTCTTTGCTCAATGTACTTGCAATGCCTATGATCCACTCCTTGAATTCGTTCTCTCTACCTCTACTTTACCCGAGTCGACAAGGCAATTACTTCGATAAACCACCTCACCTAGCCTACGCATCACTCGTACCCACCGAAGCGACGAGTACAATAGATATGAATAAATAAAAGTTGCGTTTGTCACAAACGAATGTCAACTAGAGATTCTGAGAAACATTGGCAGTCGATCGCCTCCAATGACATGATCAAATCAAAATCCTGCCGCTATGATACGCCGAAAACAGCTCTTGTCTCAGGCGCCGGCGGTGCTCAACCCACTGACATAGTGCATATGTTGCTGTAGCATATGCGGTCGCGAGTGCCTCAGCTACACCGGCTTGACAAATCACCAGCCTCGCCGTGGGGGTCCAACATCGAAGAGGAGACGAGCCAGTTAGGTAGGTAATCATCATCAGCGCAGCGCTTTGTGAGTACGCTGCTTCCGGTTTAATTCCATTTACTAACACAGGTCAGTAATGCGGTTTCGGTGGTACGTGCGACACACTGCTGTTGTAGTTGGGCTGTACGTGTGTCTGCGTGTGGAGTTTCTTGCATTTAAGGTGTTGGCTGTTGCTTGCTATCCCCGGTTTGGCTGCGCTTGATGTGAATGCTGAAAATGTGTGCCTAATCGTTGAAAATCATCCACTTCGATTACTGGGTCCAGGAGACAGTTGATTGTTGCTGAAGATGAAAGCATACACGGCCTTGGCAATTGTGCCAATTGGTTCCATCTAACGTGAAATAAGCAACTGCCAAACCATCGCCCTGTGTGTCTGGAACGCATGAATCCCCAATTAGGTAGACGGGAATACGGCTGCTGTTTAGGTTGAAGGAGTGTGGGCCGGCTTCGTTGATGAAACGTGGCTCCCACTCACATGGTCCCTGGTCTCATTCCCTCGAGTTTACACTGGATATGGGGTGTGTGGATGGAGATGTGGGTGGTGGAGAGCAAGCCTTCCCTCTTAATTGACTAGGAGTAGTTCAAACGACAGTCATTAAACCTGATGTCACTGGCTTGACAGTTAACAAAATGATGCTAACCACTAGTATTGTACTTACCCGCGTGCAGTTTTCCGTCCGAGGTCCAGAGACGACAGCCGCTGCAGCAAAGAAAGATGTTTCACTCAGTGAACGTTTGGATGTGTCATACAACTTGTTAGAGTGTGATACATCAGAAGGCTTGGCTTTATTTGCTGCCGTGCAACATGAACAAGCTGTCGTTGGCCAGAAACCAAGATTTCATGCTCTCCTCTGACAATGTCAAACTATGGATGTTAGGAATGCGAGAACAAATCAAAGGATATTAGCAAAAGGTTGCAGCAAACAAACGGGAACTTGTAGGCAAACACTACGTCTGGTAGACACAAGCACTTTTGCAGTGCAATTATAAAAGCAACACATTCCCTGGTGCAATTGTTCTTTCAGATCATAAGACCGTAATCCCGAACAACACCCCTATGTTCGAGATTAGTGGAAACACTGGTAGCTCAGATTATTTGTTCAAATGTTTATGTGATCGTTGAGCTCATCAGTACGCACGGATGATGTCACCTTGTCTGGTGAGGGAACGTTTGCAACCTAATTGCCAATATCGGCGGGCTTATACACATAGGAACATTACTACGGGTACCTATAAATCCTTCATATCCTAGAGATGCACTTCGTCTACGTTATTGCGTGCCATGGACTAAGGATACTGCTAGGGTCGCCTGACCTCTGCCCAGGCTCGAACCCGCGCCCTCAGATTACAAAGCTGAGCTTGTGATACTTAAAGCTCCGGGGCGCGTTACTTCATGCTGTGATCTGGACTGGTTCATGAGCCATTGTTCTCATGAACACTTAGGGGGCCGCTTACTTAAAATGTAGAGAACACATCTGGAATTCATTTAATTCGCAAACCCTACTTGCCAGTCAACGATTTTATTGTTCGACATTAACATTTTCTTCATTATCCGTTATTCAGCTTGCTTGGATGCACCGATAGCCTGTCATCGAACAACCAGCAACCCAAGGACTCATCGGACTGGTGCTGGCCGATACTGTGATGGATTAAAGTAGATCCTCCAAGAATAAAGTTTAGTCGCAGAAAAACATGTTTACAGAGGCTCTAATTGGGCTTAAATCCGAGTTTTTCGTCACATCCACAATGTCAACCCAATTGCTACACCTTACAACAAACGATAACAGATAGAAGGAAGGCGAACTTAAGGGTGAACTCGGACTGTCGCTGATTCTCTCTACACGACGTGAAATCCCCATCTATCAGTGAAAGTTCATTGCGACTGGTAGGTGGACAATTTGGGTCATCTCTTCTATGGAGAAATGGGCGAGTAGATATCCCGAACAGCTTGGCACCGACTATTGTACTTGAGCTACTGATTATGAGGTAATTCATCGCTGCGAAGAAAGAACATCCGAAGGTTGACGGCGAACGTTACGAAGACCCGCGCGGATCCAGCAAATTCCGATGTTGTTGTTGTGGACGTATGGACGCGATAGCACACTGTTCATATCGAATTCGAAACATACTTCACGGGCTTATAGCTACAGCTTCCCGGGACATTTGTATAGCCGATTTCCGTGTTATTGAATTGGTAGCTTACAAACAGAAACCATCAGAAGAAAAAGGCGGTTAGGCAAACAAGCTTGTTTTCCTTGGTTCGCATGAGGTCAATACTTTGCAGCTGACCTCCGTGTCAATTTCACTTCTACGCCATTCATGAGTCAACATCTCAAGGACAAGTTACCAAGGCCGAATATTTCCTTACGTGTGTACCATTTTTCTTGCTCGTGTCGAGCAACTTATATTGGAAAGACGATCTGGCGACTGTCTGAGAGAGTCTGAGAACATTGCTCTGCGTGGCTCTATACTCGTGTCAGAAAGACAGTAGTCAGCGCGGTGCTGTGGCATTTGGTCGGCTCACATCACCAAGTGAATGTGCGAGAGGTCTTCCGGTTTATCTACAAGATATCTGAATGACACACACGAGCCCTCCGATGTCGCCATTTAGCGGCAGCGGAAGCAATCCCTATTCGGCTACATAACCCCGACTTATATGCTCAAAAGAAGTTTCTACAGACTCTACAGCTGCCATGGCCACAACCTTCCCCATGTCATGAAGCCACGATTGACCCTTCCACTAATGATGCCCAAGCCAGTGTCGTCACTTGATCTCATTGACTGGTTAATTCCCTTCATTGATTCATCGTATTTAAATACACTGCGTTTGTTTTATTCCTATTCTCTGTGGTGTATTGGCCTCATGCGAACCACCGAAAACAAGATTGTTCGCCTAACCGTCTTTTGCTTCTATGTCATCTCCGGGATTATTTTCTCTGTTGGAACAGAAACCAGATGAACACTTTACTGGTTGTCCAAATGTTCCTGTCTACCTCAACACACAGATATTGTGGCTGTAATCAGCCAGTGAGGTTCGTCTCACCCTTCGATTATACTTCAACACTAGCATACACCCAACTTTTGCTGGCGTCCGTTATGTGAAAGATTACACAAACCAGTTAGCCCGAGGCCAATTCGCCGCACCGGTATTTTCCTTGTGTGTTGAACAAGAGTCGGTTGGTGCAACTGGTTCGAATATGCAGCCTATCTTAAAAGACTGACGATAATTCCCGCGCACGAGAGGACCAGCAGTGGTGTATAGGCCGGATTGCAACCCTTTGTTTGGTGGCGATACGCTGCGCAGCAGCCGCCTTGTAGGAAAAGTTGACACCACATTTTCCGTCCAACTCTGATCGCTTATCACTTACTAAATCTGCATAGCCTCTATTGATTCCATGGGGGATTATCATGGAGGTCACGGAATCTTCATCCACCTCCGTAGTTCCGCCTGCCTCAGTGGCTTCTGGTGCTACATCTTGGTACACTTGATGGCGCTATTCATCACTGTTGGGTTGCCGGTCAATTTGGTACGGATCAGAAAGGAACGCTATTCAGAACAGATCATCTTTGGCTTCTTCAGATGAGTCCCGTCTAACCAGTAGAGAAGCTGTCTTCGTAATGCCGCCACACGTTACCAATTGATCAGGTGAGCTGCCAGGTAGAAGCAACTGGGAAAGTCGCACTAAAAAGCAAAACTTCATCGAGTTGCCCACGTTTGGTTGTAGGAATTGATTCCTTCGCAAATAGCTCACAAGATATCTTGAGCTCAGCACTAAACCATGAGCATAGTATCGTTGATCAGAGGGGCAATGGAGGCTGATAACAACGTTTAAACTAACTAGCACAACTCACCGTAAGATTCTTGTTCTGTTAGGTGAGAAAGAGACAAAGTAGCAATGATATTAAACAGGTCATCATTTCACAAAGATAAATCTTTCATACTACATTCAAACCTATCTAAGGCGCTCACTTAAGGCATCAATAGAAACTGGTCTCCATGGACAGTTTCATGCGTAGGGATATTAGTTATAGGAGAAAACGTTGAGGATGTTTATGGCTAGCTGCCATAGCAGGTTGGACTGTATAATGTTTGGCTCAAAACAGACAGCAACTCTCTCCAAACTTTAAGTGTGGCTGTGGGCATCGTCATAGCAAGCGTGGCGAGTGCGCTGCACGTTTGTAAGCCATAAGTAGCAACTTTAACTTATGATAGGACATGCGAGTGGTCCGGATACAATCAACACTTGGTCGCTACTCATTAGTTTGTCAGTAGTATACGAATACCCGCCTCGTGTCCATCCCGCGACAGTGGCGTTGCGCCAAACTTCAGGAACCGTCGGATACCTGACATCACTAAATGGATCAGAAATAGCAGACAAGTTATCATTGTTGTCTTTGGAAATACTCAAAGCTTATTTAAATAGTCAGACAATATTTATTCAAATCATTATCTGTAAACATGGAGTACTCTAAAATCATGGGCGAAGTCAGTATAATGGACGATTTGTGCGCTACTCAGTCTCAACACCCCGCTTTGCAGTCTGTCTTATAGTTGTGTGGATTTTTTTAGCACAGGAATAATCTGCCCAACTGCGAATTAATCCCACGGCTTGTTGATCGGCTAACAAGTACCAAAATGATGGTTAGGAGTCTCTCGAGGCCGACCCTGTCCCCACAACGTTTCGTAACTTCCATGGCAGTGAAGGATGAGTCGCGCCAAGCGACAAATTCTCTTGGGGCTCGAGTGACACGTAAAAACCCTCAGTCTAATCAAGAAAGGAAACCGAGATGTTAACTACGGCGCTATTCAAGTAGGAATCAAAATACAATGTGTACATAGCTCAATAATACCTGTTCAGTTTCGAAACAACCGGTTTTCACAATGTCCAAAAGGATTGTGAACGGTACTTGCCACCGTACATGAAGAGTCATACAATGCGGAGTCCACGGTCAGACTGTGAGCCTTTTTATTGGGTCCGCTAATTCTTGGCTCATTGGTTCGCTATACAGCGTATGGAATATTGTGGCTTAGCTTAGTCAACTAGAAGGGTTGGGAGAAACATGAAGGTGCGTGCCCCAGGCGCAGGATGATGATTCAAGTCAAAGATGTGGCCGGGTGGTCTGAACGGGTTGCAGAGTGTGAGTGAACGGTTTCCACAATGGGAGGTGTAGTGAACCCATTGCAACGTCGAAATGAGATCACATGGGAGATAATCGGTAAGCCGGCATTCATCAGAGGGGACAGGAGTCTGCTTTGGTCCTCCAACATGAGATCCCAGCATGCGTCTTGCTAATTACATAATATTTATGTCGGTTGGCATGTAACACCATGTGACAAATAGGTGGCAGGTGTCCAGGGATAATTCACGTTCTCCATGTTGCGAATTATGTGGTAAATTTACCGCTAACGCAGACAGCTAGTAAATAATAATGGTTCAACATTGTGCTTTATGGCTCAGTGACATAGGCTGCTTACTGGAGGTGTAAGCCCCTAGTAAACGTGTGTTCACTTTCTGATGGCTCCGATAGATGTGCAGTACTGACGAGACCCAAAAAGACGGAACGGTTGTCTGGTGCTTTTCCAAGCATGTGAGTGACTATGTGGTTGGGAAACTATTGTAACGAAGCCCCCAATTATTCAGATCAAAAACTCCCTACTCATGAGCGAGGTACAGTACATTTGCCTGTTCCGGACTGCTCACTGTGCCCAGCCAATGACCAGTGGTCACAGAGTTGACCACTGCTCAACGTGAACCAAGCTTCAACCATGTCAGCCGCACGGTTTTGCCTCCACTTAGAAATCGTGGTGCAGTGAGACTGCGTGTGCCACTCTGACCATCCCACAAAAGCAACACAACAAAAAAATGAAGATTCTTCGACATTGGTTAAATCGCCTAATTCTGTTCACTGAGTACTATTCTTCACGCTCATAATCCGTATATGGTGAAGGAAACTCAAGACGCAACAAAGTGCTCTCGAGAAAACCATCAAATTAATCCTGATGTATTACATCATGACCAAAATGTGGTTGGGTGCCTGGATATGCAAATTTTTTGCTGCACTCGTTGAAAAATCCTAACTCAGATGGATATGAAGCTGTCTTACTGGCTTCATTGACTGGAACTCTCACTTTTTAATGGCCAAAGAGCGGCCGAATCCGGTCGTAAAGCAGCACAGCCAGGTATCCTTGCGTTGATTGCAGCCTGTACGTAGACAGCCACCTCTTCGGCACCCATCGAACTCAACCGTTTGCCGTCGATGAAATCACCGGCCTGCAATATGCAATAATGGAGGAAGGCGCCCCTTTTCACTCCAAAAGACGGCTGCTGCCGACACCTTGTCAAGTTTTTGCTTATTTGGTGGGAGGCTAATGTTTTCTCGAGCTAAAATAGAAATGGAAAAAATATTTCGGATGGCTAACTTCATCGAGACGACACGAAGTGTATAAATTGTTCATTACTCTTGTACGGTCTAACAACACACACGAGAGATACAGCCAGGTAGAACATGGACCAATAAGATTAATTTTAGTTATCGGCCAGTGGTTAATTAGGGCCGACGAATGCATGCATTCTCGGTTTTTGGAAGTATTTCCGCACATAGTTAACAGATGATGCCAAATTCGCTGTTCTCTGAAGTCCACCAAGGGCCCTCAGGTGCTTGATAGTGCTATTCGATTTTGTACAGTATCCGTAAAATTTTATCAAAAACAGGTCTATCACGACGAGACTAGACCTTACCGTAGTGCGATGCTTTGTGTGCCTCAGTGATCCATTGAGCTATGTTGGGTGGTGTCTTTCTCACCTTCAGGTCCACTTATATCAGATTGACCAATGGTTAGAGGCCAGACAAACACGGTCCCCTGGCCCTCCATGTTGGGGTTAGAGTGAAGGTGCTTACTTCGTGAAACGGGCTCTCTGTAGTCCGGGGCCAAAACTCGCTGCCTTGTGGTCCGGCAGTTGAACCAGAGGCCATGGTTGAGAACCCTAATCTTTCTCCTGTCTAGGCTTGGGCAACCTGACAGTATCTTGCTGACGAAATAGTACCAGTTTTATTTTTAAACCATTCCTTGATATGCTGGCGATCGCAGAGAATACTTAACGGCGCCATATCTTCCATATCGAACAGGCAAGATAGGGGTTTAGATGTTACTGCTTATGGTTTCTCGTCTTCATCTGCCCCCTCTAGCTCTTTCTCATCTTTATCGTCCCGTCCCAACTTCACTTGTATGCCCTCTGTGTGCAACTCCCAAATTCTCAGCCCTCCCCCATCTTGCTCCAATGGTCTATTGCTTTCTATCTTCCACTCGCAAGCAATCGTAGGGCGTCGCTTTGGTCCAGTCGATATGCCCATGTTCAACTAAGCGGACAGCGTCAGTTCGTCCATCCCTATTTGGAGCCCTCGGTTTTCCACAGGAATGTAATGCCTCAACGTGTACACTTTGTTACTGCTTGGCCAACAGGAAGCACCTGCTCGAACCCTAGCGTCCCTGTCGATCGGGATCTGTTGTGTATCGGAATTCGCCTGTAAGCTTTGAGCTCCGTGCACACCGTGCGATCCCCCACCTGTGACACTGGTGGCACATTCTCACTGTGCCGGAGGTAACGCAGCTTCAATTTCCAGTTAAGCCCGTGTGGGCTGAAGTTGACCTGGTTGACTGGATCCCAGTGAACAGCCGGGTATGTGCCGTCTGATTGGCTGGCTCGTTCCGAGCTTCGAAGTCTCGCGCAGACAAACGGTACCTGACTGTCATTGCGGCTTGCTTCCCCACAAACTGTAGTACTGACTCGATGCATGATGGGTATTATCATGAGCTTTATCGTATCTGAAAGAGTACGGATACCATGGTGCTTGTTGGTGATTTAAACGTTCAAGTCGGAAAATTGTCCACCGATGAGCTGCGTCTGACCGGTGAAAGCCATGCACCCTTCCGCAATGATAACGGTGAGCGGTTGCTACACCTGTGTGAAGATACTGGTCTCCTTCTCGCGAGCATTAATTTTCGACTCAGCACCTGTAGAACAGTGACATGGAGGCCGCCAGTTTCGGACCAGCCATAGACGCAAGTCGATCAAATGACGATCAGTTACCGTTGGAATGACTGCGTCCAGAACTACCGCTATATTTGGGCACGAGCGTGGACTTCAACAACGCACTGCTATGTGTTGGCCTGAGGGTACCTTTTGGCGGAATCCCACAACGGTGCTGTGAGGGTGTAGACACCAACCAAATGGCGAAACCAGATATTCTGAATGCGTATCAAAATCCTGGTATCCTGGCTGAGTAAGCGTTCACTGAACAACTTTATTGGTCACTGGCCGCATGTCCGCCTGACGTCATTATCACTAGGAATATTTCACGTGACAAATCAAATCGCCAATCTGGACATTGGGTCTTTACGCAGTTTCTGGAATTGTTAGACACTTGCCGGCCCATTCGGACTGGACGCGAAAGCAGCGAGACTCACAGTAACCTCAGGGCGAAGGGAGACCGCGAAGTCTGGTTGTCTTATCTTGTCTCGGAAATGGAGACAGCCCCTGTACTTGGTAAGCATCGGAACTTATTCCCTCTAATACGTGGAACAGGCAGTAGAAGACCTGGTATTAGCGAGACTATATGTGGCTAGATTGGACAGTCCACTTACGGCTTGTGAAAACGCTTGGGGTGTTTGGTCGGAAAATTTGAAAAGTAGTTTAGTCAGCCAAAGTTGCCATCTTACTTATCGATCACTGATCTCCCTACTCTCTGGGCCGTCCCCTTGGATCCGCCCTCACGCCCGGATGTCGAACGTGAGATTAGAATGTGGAAATTGAACAAAGCCGTACAAGCAGATATAGTTTCTCCATCCCGCTTCAAGTTCAAGGGACCTGCTCTTGTAGATGAATTGCACAAAGTACTGGTGAAGCGGTGGGAGCAAAAACGGTTCTAGCAGACTGGAGCCGCACCGTTATAAACATACTCTTCAAAGAGAGCTCACTTTCCGAATTTGGCAATCACGGAACGACCAGTATGATCTCAATTATTTCTAAATTGCATGACTCTGTTGTGCTCCATAGACTGACTGAGACTGATGAAAGTCAAATTCGCGAGAACTAAGCCGGATTTCGCTGATTCGACCACACCTTCACCTAACGACAATTGTTGTAACACCACTATATTTATTGGCGAAACACCATGTTCCTCGACATTAAATGTACCTTCGAGTCGGTTGCTCGATGTGCGGTTTGGGGCTGTCTGCTCAAGAAATGTGTGCCTGAGAAATTCCTAAACATTATCAGAGCGCTGTATGCGCATAGTTCGGGCAGACTGAGGCTTTATGGCAAACTGTTGTCGCCTTTTTATATATCCAGCTGTCACCTTCTCTATCTAATTCCGGCATCGACGAAGTCATGGAGATCGCGTTCACAGCACACAGCTTAGAAGGCGTGGAGCAGTTCCCACGTGATCGACTTGACTTGGAATATGCCGACGCTGTTTCCCTAAGCTGTGACAGCTCCCAAATGTGCAAAGCAGCCCTAGACAGAGTAGCACCGGCGGTCAGTCGTTTTGGGCTGTGCCTTGCACCCTCGAAGTGCAAACCTCCCCTCTAAGATTGGCAGTGACCCACCCCAGTGCTGACCCTTGGTGGGTTTCAGTTGGAAATCGTTCAGAAATGCAAGTTGCTAGGCAGGCCTATTAGTGCCGGTGGAATAGAAGATGAGGGCACAAACCGTATGGCAAAAGCTCGAAGTGGCTTTGCAAATCTGCGCCAATTGTGGCGTCGGCGCGACATCACTCTCGCCTTGAAGGGCAGTATTCACAATGTAACTGTGTGTTCAAACATCATGTACGGTTGCGTAACCTGACCCATCAGATCACTTGACATACGGTGACTAGTTACGTTCTACTATCGAGGTCTTCGCAGCTTAGCTCATGTCTGGTGGGCACAACGCGTGAACAATGTGCATGTTTGGCGTTAGTATTTGGTGCAGGAAGAGCGAGTGAATCGCTCAGCACCATTATATCATACACCAGGCTCCGATGGCTGGGCCACTTGTTACGCATGCCAACACATCGACACCCGCGACATGCGCAGTTTGCGTGATCGGGTCTGGTTACAAGAGGTGGGGAGGCCAAGCAATGACTTGGTCAAATGGTATGAAGTCTCGAACTTGACGTCTGTTGGTGTTTCCCGACTGCCAGACTGAAGTCCCAAGAACGATGAACACGTTTGGTTGGATACACTAGTTGCCCCGGCCAAGAGCCGACCACAGCCGCGTTTGTATTGTGAGTGTCTTTGTCCCTCGAATTCCCGCTTAGCTTCTCCCTCCAGTAACAATCTCACATTGAATGGATCCTTTTGCACTTAACATTACATTATTAGCTTTTTTCTTATTTGCTTCTTTACTGTTTAGCAAATCGCTTTCTCATATATCTTATCTTTTGTATTGAGGCAGGATCAGTTGAAGTGGTGTTTCGCATCTTCAACTAATGTGTAATGATCACGATCAAGCACAGATTGGTCGGCTATATAGTTCACAGTCTTTTGATCAGATTCTTCCCTAGCATGTTTTGCACAGTTCTCGGATACAAACATTGAGCTTAACTTACTGTTACGTCGCCTGGCTAAGCACTTAGGTTGCATCCAGTTGCGCAGTTTAACGCACAAACCAACATCACAATACCCAGTGCGGGCTACCAATATTTCAATGTATCACAGCTTGCTACAACGAGCAGATTAACTGGGTAAGAAGTGCAGCTAGTGAGACGCAGGAACAAAAATCGTAAGGATTTTTCTGAATACGACTTTGGACTACAAAACCAAATGGCATGGACCTCGAAGTTAAAAGTTCGGTCCCCAAGAAAGTCTGAAAAGCCTTCGGAGCTATGAAACTGGTCCTGACTTGCAATGGCTAGGGTGCATGATCTCGAAGTTGTCAAAAGTTCGAACATGATCTCAATGATCGTTGAATGACATTGCTTGTAAAGTTGGGTGTCGTATGAACTGAGTCCGTTTCCTACTCCAGCCCCCTACTATGTGCTCCAAACCTAAAACTGCGAAGTAGGTGGCAAGCGCTGCAGACGGTGTCCAAAAGTTGCTGGCAAATGTCAACTATCACCAAAGAGGAAATTTGAAGGCAGTGCCATTACACAAGCTGCAGAAGAAGGTTAAGAACTGATGGTGACTGCGCGGAAGCACTCGCGACGAGAAGCCTTACTTTGAAAAGTGGCTTGCCCCCATTTTAAAAGACGTTATGAGCTTACTAGTGATTATACACTGGTCGGTATGCGACAGCGGACTAGTAGGACCTATCATGTTGACCCGATAAACTTCTACAACGCGTACCGACGTGATGGTATGAAGTTACACTGTTCACCTAGCTGAGTAATTAGAATGTATACGTTTCGTCAAGTGACAACGTACAACCCTATGATATACACATGGTCTGGCAGAGAAACTAAAAGGTAAATTCCTGTTACCCTGGTCTCTCAGCTTGCCATGGCAACGCGATCTAATAAGGATCGCCGACTCTTTTTATGGTAGTCTCCATGGATCTGAGTGCATGCCTGTCGTTCACGGACATGGCCAATCGGAGACTGTCAAAGCCGTTGAAGTCCGTTCCATGCAGTTTGAGGCTGTCGTCCCTCGCCTGAATTGACGGTTGATTATCAATCGGAAATCGAGGTCGCTGGCACCTCACAAGTAGAGAAGACCGGATCGGAAAAGCAGAGGAGCAGCGTTCTATTATAGGTAGAAATTCGTCACATCTGGACTCACTCAGGCAGCCGCCACACGCCCGGAAAAGCACGTACGCTCGTTTCATCCTTTCGAGAATCGGCAACAGTGCGCATTCCATCGGACCATGGTATGGGATACGCTGTCCTCTGCACGGCCGCGACGTGTAAGTCAGTGGATAGTGAGCAGAGCAATATATCACATTTTGTTACTTATTTACTATGGTCATTGCCGCCTCCGTAGCTCAGTGGTCTCAACCACGGACTGGCAACAGTCGAGTTGTGGTTTCAAGCCCTACCCGGTTCCGATGGAATGGCACTGCTGACGATTCCCGGAAGGATGTAACGCACGTACAGTACTTTTCCGGGCGTGTGACGGCTGTATGAGTGAGTCTAGATGTGGCGAAGTTCCACTATACCAGTCAACTCCCTCTACTACTCCTCTGTAGGGTTCTATTAGACAATCATACCGTTCGCTATAAATATAAAAGCACAAGTTCGTGAATGGAGTTTGAAGCTCCAGAAGAGTCAAATTACGGTCAATCAAATAATGCCACCCACGTGATTATTGGCTGCTTCACCCGGTGGGCTATCTGTTCGCCCCTATCAGTGCGGTCGAGTTTGGCTCGCCTGCCATGCCTTGGCTCAGTAACGGTGAGGGGAGCCCCGGTTGTTCTCTTAGAGTTTTCCTTCTTAACACTCCCCCTTCGACTTGTGTTGTACGATTGCAGCTTTGGGTGACACAAATTTCCGTTGTCGCTTCGGCCTCTGTGATGTCAGGTTTTTTGGGGCCGATCTGGTGGTTGATGTGTTGGGGAGTTTTCGCTTCACCTGCGTCGACCAGTATGCCCAGAGGTAATTGCGTGGCTGGTACTTGTTGTTGCAGTTGTTCGCCAGTGGCTGCCTCTAGGAGTTGGTTGGCATGTCTCACAAATTGACGTCCCCGCCTACATACCGTAGGTCACGTTACCGCTTTTGTATGGCACAAGGCTCATGGCCCATTCGGGATAGTGGATGCGATAATCTGTCGCCAGGACTTGTTGGCCAACATGAAAGACTCGTTTTCGAGCACCAGCTGAATGTTGCGGGACAGTAATTGCTTCTTCCGGAGTCTGAGGGCCTCATGCGGCACACGGATTTTCATTTGAAACTGAGTTTTAGCCGGGTATAGTGCGTTCGGTGTCTGCGGATTTGGAGTTGTGCGATACGTCAGAAGAAATGTGTCAAGAATCTCCGCCAAGGTACCTTCGCAGTTCATTTTTAGCAAGCCTCTTTTGAATGTATCCACAAAGCGTTCTGCGTGCCAGTTTGATTGTGGGTGGAAAGGTGGGGATCCTACCTGGAGGATCGCGTTTCTGCGACAGAAGTCAACAAATTCAGAGGAGTTGTACTGAGTAGCATTGTCCGGAACCAACGTAGGTGGAACACCGAAACGAGAAAATACCTGTCGAAGAGCAGAGACCGTGGCTCCTGCAGTAAATTTCATCGTTGGAATCAGCTCAGGCCACTTACTTTAGGCATGACGACGATGAGTAAATGATAATCGTCAATTGGACCCACAAAGTACATGCGTACCCTAGACCATGGTTCCGTAGGTATTGGCCAGGATTGCAATTCCGTCTTCCTTGGCTGTTTAGAAACACTGGCACATCGGAGACAATTCTTGGTTAAATACTCTATCTGCGAATCCATGTAGGGCCGACACACATAGATTCGTACCAGCGCTTGCATGCGATTCATTCCTGGGTGGTCAGTATGAAATGGTCGGAGGACTCTCTCCTAAATGATGAGAGGAATGACGTGGCGAGCTGAGAACAGCAGACCATTGCTGATGACTGTTAGTGCTTTTTTCCCTTGGTTGCAACATATTCATTCGAATAAATAGTGTAGATCGGTAGTTTCGCGGCGTGCCGAATTTATCCTCTCTGTGCGATCCACTACAACTGAGGTAGACTGATCTTCCTTGAACTCGGGCAGGTTGCTCGAACCCAAGCTTATTCAGTCCAATGGGCTTCTAACAACACATGGATCGCTAGCCCAGTGCAGATATCGCTTATCACTTCCGATCAGAGGCTCTATCTTCGCCTTCAATAGTGGCAACCATAAGTTGCATATGTGAGGCTATCTTTAGAAAGCAGTTCATTTTGCGCTCGTTCTAAGTGTTTCAGAATGATCGCTGACTTACCTGACAGAGTCTAATCAGACTCACCATCCAGAGGCGCTAGAAGCAGCAGCCAGCCAACTGTCAGGACCTTTAGCTCAGTTTTTCCAGCGCTGCTTAGACCAGAATCAAGTTCCCGCTATGTAGAAGCTTGGAATAATAACCCCGATTCACAAAGGTGGAAGCAGAACTGATCCCTCCAACTACGGCCCAGTATCCCTTCTTCCTATACTCTCCAAGGTCATGGAATCCATAGTTGCCGATGCACCGGTGTGCTATCTGAAATGTAATATTAGCACGCCTGAGCAGAACGGTTTCCGTCGACAGCCGTCATGTACGACTAAGTTACTAATTACACGCAGTAGTTGGACCGAGGCAGCTTACACTAGAAAAGGCGTTGATGTGATCTACCTGGATTTTCCTAAGGCTTTCGATCGTCTAGACCATCGGATACTACTATCCAAGCTTCAGCATTAGGGGATTGGCGACCCTCTTTTAAGCCGAGTTGCCACGTTTCTACTTCAACGGCAATTAGTGGTCAGAGTTCGGAGCTCGTTACCCTACCCCGTACAAGTCGAGTATGGTGTGCCGCAAGGCTCAGTTCTAAGTCCAAGTTTGTTTTTGTGTTTATTAATGACCTTGCACAGGGAATCGATTCAAACTTCCTAGTGTTTGCTGACGATATCAAGATCTGGCGCAGGATCCAGGCGAACGCCGACCAACATGTGCTTCAGAGTGACCTAGATCCGCTGTATCAATGGTCAACCCAAAACTGGCTGCAATCTAACCTCCGTAAATGCAAGATGCTTTTCATCCGACATCAGAGCAGCTACTTATACCGGCTCGGAACGAATATACTACAACAATCAACTCTCGAACGTGACTTGGTGTCCTGGTTCAAGATGACTTGGGTTGCTTCAGGCAATCCGAAAAGGCTTCGAAGACTGGGAACTAACACGTCGGGCTGTTACGACGGGCGTTTGGACCAATAAACAGCTCCATATTTCGACAAATGCTCATTGCGTATGTTCGCCCCCATGCCGAATATGCAATTCAAGCCTGGCATCCGTGTCTGAAACATGACCTTAGTGCACTGGAGCATCCACAACGGCGTGCATCTAAGAACGTAACTGGAATGCGCAATCTTTCATACCAGGAGAGCCTGCAACGATTGGGGGTAACTAGTGGAATATATCGCGGACTACGTGGTGACCTGCTTATGGCATAATTGATTCTGCGAGACCCACGTCATGTGTGCCGCCCCTGAGAGGCCACTCATTGAAACCCGCTGGACAGTATAGCCGTCTGGAGTACCGCAGAAACTTCTTTTCCATTCGTGTCTGTCACCCGTGAAATGCTCTCCCAGAATCGGTCGTCACCGCTCCGAAACTAACAGTATTTAACAGACGGTTGGTTGATGCCCTCATCCACTTACACTTTGTCACTTAACACTACGTCTCTATCCTACACCTGGAGTTTACCATGGAACTATTCGTTGTTAACTGGGTGCTGTGAATCTAAGCGGATCGCAGGACTACAGCGGAGCAAACGATAAGTCCCCATTTTCATATTTAAAGTACTAACTGTTTTACTATCATTATTATCGTTATTGTTACCTCGACATCCCCACCAACTATCCAACGGGACTTGTAAAGCAACGCTTCTTAACCCGTATAAATTCATTGTTCATTGTTCATTATCGAATGAACAGTTACACTAACCGACTACGACTTTAGCTGGCATCGACCAGCGACGGTACATAGGTCCATTGTTTTCACGGACCCTTGCACTCCAATGCTTTGAAGCAAATGGAAATCGAGCAATGAAGTGTCTGACTCGTTATCCGCGGGCAATACACCAAGCGAAACAGCAAGCTTTTCCACATGACTTAGAGTGAAAATAGATCCTTCGGTATTCAGTGTACCGGAGCATTTCTTTCCCTGATTAACATGTAGTAACGGGTGATGAAGTAGCCTACAGTTGCTTAACCCACAATACTTTCTTGACGAGCAGCTTCGTAGTCATGATTCGGTTTGAGACACAGTTGGCACAACCGGTGCAAACAGCAGAATTCCAGACGCTCGTGACAGAACAGTTTTCGGAATTCATTGCGTTGATCTAAACAGTGACGTCGTTCACCTGAAATGCATTTAAGGGGAGGCCGTTCTAAGGATGTCACAACGTCCGAGTAAGTGGTACGACCTAGGGGATTTAGGCCGTCACTTCTATCAGTGTTATCAGTTGATCGGTAGGTGAGTGTCGACGAAGTCTGAGATCGATCACCAAAGACTACTTTTGGCCTTTTCGTTAGTACTTTATGATGCGAATCAAATTTTAGCAACTGTAGTGAACTGAGCATATCTTCAGTTGGGTAATTGAATCTACTCTGAATCACTGCTAATGCATGGCACCGGGTGGTTATAAATTCTATTGGTAACGCGTAGTTCATGAGTCGTGTAAGAAGCTTACCACACTGCAGCCGTCCTGACCGGCGACAGGATCTCTCACAACAAACCGTAGGTAAATATCTAAAAAGGCAAAAAACAAATCAGTTTGGATAGCTTACAAAGGCAGTGATTAAAATCTTTTTTGCATTTCTTACTCTTGTTAATGTTTTAGTTGTCACTTGAGATTATAAAGTTTTAAAAAAATCATCATAGTTAGCAGTTGAGAATATTCCTACCCGTATGTCCACTTTGCTCCAACTGGGAGTGGTCTCTCACATTGGCACCTTTGTACTTACATGTAGTAGTTTAGTATGTGGAGTTATCAGGGTCTAAACGAATGAACTTGCCGTCTGCTGTGAAAACCAGGGGGTAACTGTTTATCGTTACCCTCCTTGACATGTCAGAATCACTCGTTAAGCCGAACAATATGTAGATTGCGGAATTGTCCTCCTCAGCAAAGACTAGCTCTCTTATGGATCCGGTAATTGAGGTGACGGCAGCTCTCCCACATGCTAATTAAATCAGCACGTCTCAAGCTTTAGAATACAGCCTGATTAATGCCAGAACGCCTCATCACATACATCATCAGCCGGGCTCGCAGAATCAGTAAGATGGGTGGCACGAGGCCCGTATAGGTTCTCATCAGTCAAGTCACTTAGTGGACTAATTGTACGGTCAAGGAAATCTCGGTTGAAACCATTGTAGTTAGCCAACGGATATGGTACATGGAGAAAAACGATTGGTTGGTTACGCAAAGTGCTGGTGACAAACGCACACAATCTATACCGAATACTGCTCACTTTCCCTATTGAGGTTTGACACTTCTCAATCACAATGCGAAATAGAACAACATACGGCCCTAATGCAGACTACACAAGCACACATGCCACGGGCATCTTCGATCGCCAGGCAGATATTGACCTCAGATCATCTGAGTCACACCAATTCGCGGCTCCTGAGGTTTGCTGAGACTCTCGCAATAAACTGGAGTAAACCGGCGCTTTGTGTCCTAAAGCCATTTCAGTCAACCTCAGGTTACCCTGGACATAGTGGTCGGCTTCTGTTGTTTTTCGGATGGTTTGTTTTAGTGTTTGTTTGCGTCATCTAATAGTTGTACGTGATTCCAAGTTACCGTATTCGGCACTGACCAGACGGTACGAAATGAATACATCTGCCGATTTTCATCTCACTGAAAGTTTCAACTTCTCTGTGTGTTCACGCAAGAACTCCTTTATCAGACACTGATTTCATCCGATTCTATGCGGTGTCAAAACACAAACCGAGAGATAAAAAACTACATAACAGAAACTACAGAACTACAGAATTCGGCAGGCGTTAAGGTCAGCGAGCACAATCCTAAGTGGTTACGCGGCCGGATGGGTTCGGTAACGGCGGAATCGGGTGAATTGAGAAATCGAGCTGCCTCGGCAATCACAAGGTACTTACTGTGCACCGGCCACCGACTTAACCCCAATGAGTCATCCACCTTCCCGATGCGAAATCAGCGGCCTCACATCCTCAGGCTATTGGAATCCGCCGTCATCGATCGAGAGCGGCCGCTGCTTTGTGTGCAGAAACAGTTGACGGTGTATCTTAACCTACCGTGGTAGTGTGAGACATGACGATTGGACAACAACTGGCTAACTATTGATCTCATATGACCGCGTTTTGTATATCTATGATTTCTGCATGATTTGTGATTGAGGAGCTTGCACGAACTGACTGAGTCATCACAGTTTATGGCTTCCGATATTTCTGTTTGGAATTATAAAGGGAAATTCCTGTTTCAGAACTCGGTAGATTAATTAACGTTCAAAGGGATGATGACAAGTGTTGATTAAACGGAAGTTAATCTGAATACGCGTGAGCGTAGGTCCCAGAGATTCGAGGAACACACCGACCGCACGATTTGGTGTCTCAAACTCGCGTAGCGACGTTGCTCATCACTGCTGATGCTTAGACTCGTTATGGATTCCATGCTGATATCACATGGTCACCCGTTCGGTCGCATGGACACGATACACGCGCACACGCGCAATTATCTCTGGGTCACTCATTAAAGTTCTCAAGCTGTGGGGTACTTACCCCAAGAGGGTAAAATGGAATTTAACACGGTAAGTATAAGTACGAGGATTGGGTCATCAATCTGCCGCCAAAAGAAATTGATAACAAAATCATCTGCATAGAAACATGCAACTAACTACCTAAGCACTATTGATTAGTCATCAGTGACTAATCGCTATAGTGAGTGACCAGTGAAATGGGCACTTATCGGTAATACATTTTATTACCTAAACTACGAATACAAGCTTGTAAAACAACGCAGCTACATGGCGCTTCAATCGGCTCCCTCGTCGATCGTTGTTCTTTTATGTTAGGCAGCCGTTCGCTGGGTCGAAGTACGGAGCTGAGTGAACAATAAGGTGGAAGTATAGCCCAGCCAAACAGGTAAAGGAGCAAGTGAGTGTTTACAAGGTAGAAGGGACAAAACAGACGATTAGGGTTCAAGCGGTATCGTTATAGTGGGATGGTGGGGAGCTGTCGTGCAGAATTGACTAGGAAGGGATGGCTGAAACAAATGAGAAGCCATTGACATCTGTTCATGTTTGAGCAGAGGCCATACACCAAAGCAAGGAACCGAATGAGCATTAGCCGAATCCGCACCAAATATACCAGAAATTATTAGACCTAAGTGAAATCAACCGTGTCTTTAACGTACATCACCTCCCGGTTATATAAAGATTGCTCAAATATAAGTGGCTTTATTATTGGCGTGTGCGAAAGTAATTACAGCAAGTAATTTAAAACAAAAAATGCAGTAGTTAATAGGTACTTGGCTTTAAAACCAAGGTATTTGTGGGGGAATTGTATGTTGTGAACCGGCTTTGCAGGTACTAGCCTCAAAAATGTTAAACACCACCGGTCTATCACAATGTTGACCCAGCTGACGATCACGAGGTACACTGATCGCAAGCTTTGTTTGTTATACCCTTAGAGAGTTTATGCATTCTTAGGTCAGTTTATGGCCACAAATCCAACATGGCTTTATCTGACTTTCTAGAGTATGAATATAGAACATCACTGTTAACATGTGCACTTACCTTTATTAACACCACGAACTTGATCTTGCACGTCCCATACATGAACGCATTTATCAACATAGTTATTCAAGACACGGCTAATCATAGTTAGTGTGTTGAAAAATTTTGTGGACGGCGGAAGTTCATCGTCAACCTCGGTCGTCACTGTCAACTGGAGCCGATGGATGCTATCTTCTGTCGATGTCTCTTCCGTGGGCACTGCTGAACAGCGACTGATTTCGAAGTTCACGTTCGTCGAATTCAGGCGTCTCTCAACCTTGAGTGAAGAAGGAAGAGATGTTGGGAAAACAGTGATCGAGTTTTCTCGAATGACAAGAAAGGGAAAATTGTGACATTCGAAGCGCTGTGATTGTTGTCCGTTGGCCGCTCACAAGTTTCAACAGTATGGAAAACACTCGAGCTGCTGAACTACCAAGCACAAAATGGAACTCCACCGGTGGAAAGTCGAAAGAGAATACCCCCGCCACATTCCCTGAGCGGAAATGCTAGAACTAGCTCTACTAGTTGGCGTCCGCTCTGGCGCCAGATGAGGCCTCCCTTTGCCGCAAAGGATCATATTTACTGCACCGCAACGGAGGTCGTCCCCCTCTACTGTAGTCAGACCCGGAACCCTCGGTTTGAGTTCCTTTTATTTATAGTGCTTTGTTCTTATCACGTGGCATAACGAGACCTGCGAAGACGCGATGAACAGTCGAGGGCTAATTCGCAAAGTTTTGTTTAGCTCGGTAGAGTAACAAACGATACTACATTAGTCGCATTAATTTGATTAGTTTTTACGCATGCCACCCTCCTGCTTACCGAGGACAGCATTGTTTGTTTCATTGACTGTGTAAGGTACGCCAGGTGAAACTTGACTAAGTGGCAAGAAATCCAATGCCTAGTGACCTATCTGGGCGTTCTTTTAGTCCACTTCCTTACAGGCCGGAATCGACACGACCACACTTGTGCCCACCTTGACACTTTTCAGCCAACCGGCATCCCTGACGCGTTTGTTATCGTCAGGCCGCTTTGTTGAAACGTGTTTAGTGTTTCGTTATCAGCGGAATGTCGGCCGCAGAACAGATATCTCTCCAGTTCCACCTTATAACATCGCATTGACACGGTGTTGGCAAGGTGGGGACGCCTTGCATTTGAACGGTCATTTATGCCTTAGGTCCGTGCCCTCTGCCTTATCACGATTAGTCATAAGTAATTTGACTATGTCGATGCGAAGACAAACCACTAGAACAAATACTGATGTACTGTTTGCTGCTTTGACTTTTGTTTATGGTATTAATTGAAATCGCTTGGTACGGATCCACGAGTTGACCCAAACTGGCCAAATGGCGTCGGAAAGCACAGTTGGCAGCTACTTACTTTGTTCATATATACAGCTTGATGCTAAGGCTATACATGTGACTGGCTCGTAGCATATCCACAGCAGACCCCTAAAGCACCAGTTAAGTTAGCCCCTAGACCAGATTAGTAAGTCGTAGTTTTCCAATGAAGTAACAAACAAGACTTCATCTCTTCCGCTATCATGGGGGGGCGTGACAAAACCAGATACTAAAGACAAGCCCACTCGACGTAACACCAATGTATCGGAAGCTGAATGTACTGGGCCAGCAATGCACTGCATCACTGGTTTTGTGAATAACTGCAATTTTCCATTCATGGGGAAAACGCAATAGAAACGACCTACTGATGCTTTTTCCGGTTGATGATCGGACAAACTGACTTGTGAACTGCCGGGGAAAAGCAACAAAATCTCATCAATGATCATCCCACTCATTAGTAACAACAGAACCTGTCAAGTTGCGGGAGCAAAATCCACTCAGTTTAAACTTACCGCTTCACAGTCGGGACCCTCGGGACTGTAATCTATCAAGGCCTGGAAAGTTGTACCTGTGGAAGAAGGTGTCAGAGATAAGGGTTAGCGAAGAATTGACCGCACCTGAATGATTGCGTCAAATTCAGTGACACTGACTCAAAGTTCAAATGTACGAGGATCGAGACATTCAAGCTAATTCCACGTTCGGTAAAACTGTAAGGTGTATAAACAGACCCAATGAAATATGCCGGAACAGCTTGTACCACTTGGTATACGTGAGCGGAACTGCAACAACAGGGAATGTTTGGGCAGAAATCTGTTTAATAACAACAAAATGTGCATATCAATCACAAGTCCCAAGCACTGCTTGAAGTTGGACGGAAAAGTGGAATGGCATGCTATCAGTGAGTAGTGTTGCAGAAAAGCTGAGCTGTTGAACTGTTTACATTTTGTTAGCCATCTAGCCAAATAGAACCACCTACCATCTTTAAGCGGGGGTAGATATGAGGTTAGTCAAAGTCAGAATCTACACGACGTGCTCCAATTCACGTGTGTGACGTCAGTCTCATCAAATTCGATCAAACAAACGTGCTAGCGCTGTCTACTGACAGGGCTGATCAAATTTCTGGGCCAAACACACTCAACGGATGAAACCAGTGAGCAGCACTGTTACAGCCCAAGCTCAAGTGTGACTGTGAACGTTTACTGTGCATTTGTAATATTGGCAAGTGGACCTTCAGGACTTGACGTGCCCATCTGCATGGCATCCTTGGTCCGGAATCTTACGTCCCATGGATGTAGTTTTGGGACCAACACTGTCCAACTATAGCTCACTGCGACTCGAATCACTTCAACGAAAGACACAAATCTGTTAATACGACCCCTAGAAGCGAATAGGCGTTACCTCGGGGGGAGAAGGGTATTGAAATCGCAGTCATCTGCTAATGAGCAGAGGGACACAAAAAACAAGATCACAGTAAATGTCCCAAGCCGTCATGACCGGACGACTAGCTGTGACAACACGATAAATGCACGACAGTGATTGCCGGTTCATCTGTTTGATGTTTCTTAACATACCCTTATAAGCAATAACTAGTATTTAATAATTCAACTACCTGCTCGAGTGGAGGAAGCCGATCCCCGCCACTCGAACTCCTCTGGTGTACAGTGCTGATGCGCGAAGCATTGAACAACGAGTGTATTCAGTTTTTCGGATTGTGCTTGTATATATGTAGTACTGACTACGCTCAAAGATGTTAGCGAGGTGATGAATTGAGTGGTAACTACTAACCATTCTGAAAAACCCTTGAGCTTCGAAGAGGCGGTCATTCCGGCTGCTAGACGGACATGTCCAACCTACGCATCAATTTCTGGACAGCCTGCGAGTAGCCACAGATTACGATGATGTCATTCGCGTACTTCAGCTCAGGAAGCTGAGTACGCGGAAGCAGTTTGACGCCGCTAGCAAAATGGAACAAGAAACCTGATGAGGGCCAACAGTGTCTCATATCATCAATTACACTGAAGGATTGCAGATAATCACCATATTCCCGCACTGGCCTCAAGTTTTATGACTAGACTGCTTAGGAAATGTGGACAAACTTCTGGGGCAATTATCTTCACAGCAAGTGACTCCAGAGAACAGCTCTCGTACAGGAAGCATGTGATGGTGAGTCAGCTAAAAGTGCGATGATGCTGGAATCTCAGGCGGATCGTAATAATGTGAGCAATACAGTTCTGACTTGTCAGTATTCGCCCAAGCCAACATGGTTATTTCTATTCGCAAAGGTTGGGTTATCTTTAAGGAGGTCCACACTGGCGTTTCAACCCGAAAGGTGGTGGCGGTGTCGAGCTCTTTTCTACACCATTTCCGGGCCAAGTTGTCCTCTTGGGCAACAGAAATAATCTGAGGGGGCATTCAACATGAGTCTACTCAATTAATTTGTTCCCTGCGTAGGAGCTGAAGCCTAACACCTGCACCCCTATGACTTAGTGCGTCTGAGGTCCAATTGGCTGAAGGCGACGGGCTATACACGCACACCTACGCACCTGCACAAGTGACTGGCGTACGCACGGAACAAATTAATTGAGTAGACTCATGTTGAATGCCCCCTCAGATTATTTCTGTTGCCCAAGAGGACTACTTGGCCGGGAAATGGTATAGTTAACTTCGACGGTCTGACTGGGCTTAGTCGTGGCGAATTACACGTGTCAATCATAGCAAATGAATGGAGGTCTGAGTCCCCAGGATTTTGTTGTCAGCTTACATAAGCAAACTCCACCAAGGGGTTATGGGCGATATTTCTAACAGTTTCATGGAAGCGCAAACCAATGCTTCTGGGTTGCTCAAGTGTCTTTGAGCTTCTGATGAAGAAAATCAGTGTCTACGCAACCTGTGGTTTAGAATGGCTTTGTGAAATAAACAACTTGAAGTTTTCCCCACATCTATTTGTGAAGTTGGACCAGATTTCAAGAAGCAGTGTTAGACATTTAGAGATGCAATTTCCTTGTGGTATGACTGTGACATGCATACCGTAACATACGACTGCCAACGCTATGTTCTCACAGATTTGTAAAATAGTATTACTACCGGGATAATGATATTCCGAATTACTGCCAAGTGAAGCAATCGTGGACCTCTCCAACGCAGGCCATTCGGCGGAATAAAGTCTGAAGCAAAACCGATTTCGTTCATTTCCGCCGTCAGCTATTTGCGGTCCAGTGAAAAGAGGTCATTACCTTCTTTCAGTGACTTACTTAGACGAATCGTTAAGCCAACCCGCCATGTTTGATAAACGAAACCTCTACTGAATGAGATTGGGCAACGGGTAACAGCCAGCACATCTGAGCGAACGGGACAATATTGGTGTGGCTCAAGCCCCGCTACCGAATGCCCGAAAAGGTACTTGAATCGGTTACCTATCGCAGTAGGACTTAACTTGTTGTTCTATTTACCAAAAATGGATTACGCATGGCATTAAACATTGGAAATGGCTCTGCAGTATGGACAAGCGTTAAATCGTTTACACATTATCAACAAGAGAGTGGCATAGTTTGAATGCCAATTTGATTGATCCGTCGCACAGCACACGTGGGAATGGAAAACATGGGGTTACTTAGTTCCATTCACTCTCAGAGACTTCTTCTCGGAATGGGATTTAAAATAGTATTCGTGTAATTTCTCACAGATGTGGTATGTCAGCTTAGGTGTGCATAACTATGGGTCTATTTCTCATCGAGATCATATTTTACACCCTAGGTCATGCTCATGCATGAATAGTAAACACTAGAAAGCCTTTAGAAAGATCACTCGGGATCGATCTAGAATCCTCAGTTGCACTGTTGTCCACCTATAGAGTTTCGAAGCGTGATCCAGCCGTTTTGAATTATGCCTACTTATTTCATAGTCGAGCAGCCGCTTGCTAACTGCCGCCAGCCAAGTTATGTAATCACATGCCAAAGATGTTACCGAGTACATTTCATCGTACCTCTTAAAGATGATGATCATTTCAAGCTTTTAAGGAAACCTGGTTCAGGCATGGAGTACTCAAGCTAGCCACCGAGTGTTCGCTGAGCCTCCATTCCAAACGCTGTTCGTCATATTCGCCCCAGCCTGGGGCCCACATGACTCTCGTTAAGAAGGACAAGAATGGTTAACTCATAACTGAACTACACTGACAAAATGTCGTCATCCAAATAAGAAGCATGCAAGTTCCTAATACTGTCGTTGGAGACTGGTCACCGATAATTGGTGTGTAAAACTCACTGGAGAATTCGGGCTGCACTTGCCAATTCGATCCGGTCACCGTCATACAGTCGACAGCTTCGATGTTCAGGTATTCGTTGATATGGGCCATTTTTTCAAAGTGGTAGGTAGTTGGGGGGAAATCAGGTAGTTTCGAGGTATCCACACTGATCTGGTATGGCACAATGTATTCTTCTTGGTCTGTCACGATGGGTGTTTTGGCGTTACACGTGGAAACTGCTTTACTGTCCCACACTGTGCTAGCTCGTTGACGAAGCTAAAAGGTATGTGTATTAGGCAGATGGTCTATGCAACCCATTGTGACAAACTGGTTCATTCGGAGAGACTTTGTTTTGTACTTACCAAGTCGCACTTGTCTCTGATCGTCTCCAAGTCGCCGCTCACGTTGAGACGTACGCCAACAGCTGTCAATGGGTAAGCATGTTAAAATAAATGTAACAGATAGGTCAGATAAGTTCCAATGAAATGCTAAAGATCCTGGTTATTCTGTAGTAATTTAGAAGCCACTGAGAAGATGGAAGTCTCACTTTGTACTAGCGTACAATCTGAATCATGGCAATATCTATTGCAATCCACCCGGTAGTATAGGGCAGTTCCACTCGGGAACTGTTATGCCATGATACAAGACAAATATGTGGATTAAATTCATTTTACTTTTGTGTGTTGTCCTGGGAAAGCGGATCCCACTCTCATACAATCAGGTTGTATGAGAGTACTCAATCATTCCGTAATAAGCTCGGAAGCTACCTCAACTTTGACAAGATTATGACCTTGTATTCGTGGCGTAGATAGCTTGATAATCTGTTTACTTAGGGCACAGATAACAAGTAATGTTTGAAACAGGGGGAATTCACTCAAACTACACAGCCATCAGTGTGCACAACAAATTCAAAGCGCAACAATGACAAACCTGTGCGACGTATACACACACAATGACATGCGCAGTACGGTATTACTTGTACCTATACGGTCTGTGAGGAATATGGTGAGAAACCTACATAATATTACTGTTAATTTTATTCGCAATATTCCTCAGACGACGTCAATAACGGTTTTATGTGGTGTCGTTTCTACCTAGGGTTGAATAAGTTGATACCCATGAAATTCGTTTGTAAGGCTGCCGTCAGTGCTATAAAATGAATATCAAGAGGCGAGAACACATGGACCGAATGTTTGCAGTGTTTCCCGTCTACTCGAGTCACATACTTTCGTAAATAATATGAAGTACTATAAAACGCGGTTCTCATGGGGAGTTCATTTCGTCATCTAACTTCAGCAAATTTGTAGAAGTAGATCACCCAAAACTCAACGTTTGATTGAATGCATTATTGTCATATTGAACAAATGCGCGGAGAAGACACTAGTCGTATCCCAACTATCATCCATTCCGTATTTTGCAAAGAGGTAGTTTGTATGACAAGGACATCGATGTCAGACCATGAGATTGATGTACCTTGTAAATGCAATTGCTTTCTAGGTGGCTACGGGACCCAGTTTAAGAGGATTATAAAAAATGTTCGTCACGAATTGAATGTCGACTGTATTCGTTTACCTTTATCCCGTCAACCGTGCACACTTTCACCGAATCCTGCAAAAATGGAAGCCGAGGATCTCCTTATACCAGATGGAACTAGACACTGGGTCTGGGATGATGGCAATGGGCCGTTATGCCTGATAATTCGCTGTGATCTATCAGGATTCAATTTCCACTGTCAGGACAGGCATGACCCTCCGTCCAACAATCGACTCCATAAAGCATCACTGTTGGACACGGAATCACAATCCATCGCACGCCATTCCCAGCTTCTTTGCGATGCTCTAGTACACCTCTGCAACCTCTAACACTTGAACTTAAATATAATTGAAACCAACTTCTGATAGAACAGACTTTATTGCTGAATTTTAATACTTAACGGGGAAGAAAATTCGGTCTTCACAGGCTTGTCCAAGCATGAGAACCGGTTGATACCTTACTAGCCAATATTTTCTGGAACGGTGTAATTTCTTAGTTGGTAACCAGACGTTAAAATATAATGCTTGCACGTCCAAGCAAATCAAATCTTGAGCGTAAAATATGACCGGTAAATAGCACAGTTGAAGCTTCTGCGTTCATACGTGAGAAGCTCGAATACTGAAGAGCACCCACTTAAGACCGACTAGACCTTAAGTGTAACTTTGACTTTCTCAAAATAACCTCAACATACGAAGCTGATTGGAGACAGCAGCTAAGATGTCTGATTTGAAGCTCAATTTGGAGTCCTAATCGAGTAAAGCAGTCGTTCCTTGCAACAAAATAACATCAAGGAACTCAGATCTTACTCTCTCATCACGGTATTTCTCATGCTTCTAGGAAGGAAACATACGCAGAACGAGTGCAAAATTTAAAATTCTATCTAAATATCGCGTTTCCGGTTTCCAAAATATGGGGTCACTGCATGACCTCACACATGCTGTAACTCACGAAATCTGTTTCACTAAGACAACTAGGCACCTTGCACGCGGTTTTTCGCCGGGAGCATTACCAAAGGACGTGTAAACGGTTGTGTATCGGTTGTGACGTAATCGCCGTAATCGCCTGCTAGCTCTTCGCAACCATGAAATAGAGATATGTGTATATCATTCATGTGTTCTTGTATGGGTTGAGAGGAGTGACGGAGTTTTCGTTCTCGTTTGTACCATAAGTAGCTAAGCAAGACATGTGAACGCAACTAATATATAAAGGAAAAAGAAAACTCGTCCAAAATCAGCGGAAAAATGCATCGTTCAATCACACAACTCACGAATTATTTCCGACAATCCCGGTGTGGCCATCAACAGGAGCATCGTCAGCGCCGTGTGTGTGTGCATTGTGTAACGCTGGGCAAATAGATCGCGTGATAACATCGCATCAAAATGTTTCATCTTTATAGACTTTACATGTAAAACAGGTATCACTTGATTGGTTATTTTAACTAGGTAAACTGTGATGATCCAATTGCATAGTTTTGCAGTGCCTTAATGCAATGTTAATTCAGGGTGATTCATTGGCTGTTTATATTTGATACCATACTGGAAGATTTCGTAATGTTCTACTCAAGAGTTCAATGGTATTAACACTGGTACCAAATTGCTAAATTTCAAGTATACAGCATTATGTATCGTATCTAGAATAATGGAAGGATAGTGAAAGATGAACTATTTATATCCTTGAACAACGCTAATATTATCAGCAATTCGCAACTTAGCTTCATGCAAGGTCGATCCTGCGCAACATGCCAGACCGACATTTTAAACAACACAACGGCTGTCATTGACAACGGAAACCGTGTCGTAATCCTGTTCCTGGATATGCAAAAAGCCTTTGATAGAGTGCCTCACAGAAGGTTACTACACAAACTGAAGGCTATAGGCGTTGGAGAACCGATGTTCTCTTGGCTGTCTTCATATCTAATTGGTAGACAGCAGGTGGTGCGCATAGGCGACCAATTTTATACACCGATGGCAATCACTAGTGGGGTGATTCAAGGGAGCGTCCTTGGTCCTCTTCTTTTTCTTATCTCTATTAACGATATATTCCAGAGAATAGGAAATGGTGTCATATTTATCTTTGTTGATGACATTAAAGTTGTCTACTCACAACCACGTGCAAGTCGGAAGCCGTACGTCTCATTCAGGATGACCTCTCTGCCCTTGACTCCTGGTTCCAACTGTGGCAGATGTCATTTGCCGTGGACAAATGTAATATTTTGTCGTACAAATGCCAAGTACCGCCAAACAGTTTATTACTACAAGGCGCATATAACTCGCAATGCAGGGCAGTTCGCGACTTGGGAGTACGATATTCAGTCACGATTAACTTTTCTGAACACTGTGACTTTCAAGTTTCGAAAACCATGAAGACAATCGGTTATATCTGCCATCATTTTTACCTCACGGAATCTCGCATATCGCTTTACAAAACAATGTATTGCCGCGTATGGAATACTGCTCAATGGTACAGTCTAAGCTGCGGAAATCTGACCAGCGCGCTCTTGAGAGCGTCCAAAGACGCTTCACGAAAAACTATGTGGATATCCCTCAAGGTTGACATACAGACAGCGATGTGATAAACTTGGATTTGATCCAGTTTGGCTTCGGATAATGAAGCTGAACCTGTTTTCTTTACAGAATCGTAAATCGTCAAATTCGCAGTCGGTGTTTACATATCTTTAAACAGCAGATATCAAATACGTAACGAAGAGGTAAAGGTCATGATTCCAAAATTGACTAGGAGAATCAGAGAACGTTTCTTTCCAACCCAATACTCAAACATTTGAAACAAACTTCCAAGTGATATCAGAACATGCTATACACTTTGCAATTTTAAGCTTGCGATTAGTAGGCATTTAACCGCCCAAAATGTGGTTAAGATATTCGGGACATCACAGTCCCTAGATAACACATTCGAGAACGGTATCCATGGTGCCTGAATGAATTTTCGAAACACATGTACATAACATTTCGGACAACAGCCCATTTCATTACATTTTTTCTCGGCCCAAATATCTGTTATGTGATTGTGAGGAATCCTGATTCAATGGCAGGAAAAATAGCGGAACGATTCTGATTACCCTGTGTTACCTACTTTGTAATGGCGCCCATGTTTATTTCTGAAAACGTATCAATGAAATGTCATGCAAAGATTGTACCATTAGTTGATCTGTTCCTTTTAGAGAACAGCTTCTCGCATCGTCGAGGAATATACAATTTTTTGTTTATTCTCACAGCCGAGTTTTGAGATGGGGTAGATTAGTGGGAAGGGAAGTTTTTGATGGAAACGGAATTGCATCTTCTAAGGGGTTGACGCGTAAAACAACAATGAACCACAACACTTGTTGCCAGTATAAGTGTTTTGGAAAGAGTAGCAGAAACAATAGATGCCCACTGTGAGAGCTAACCTGAAAATAAGAACTATAAATGAGCCATTTCGTTCCGAGAACGGGAGTTGCGATGACTGCTGGATACTCTTTGGTCCTGATTAGGGGAAATTTGAGAATGGCAACTGCCAAATGGTGTCTAATTATTACCCTATCTTAGCTCATTGATTGTGCTGATTTTGTAGCTTCTAGCTGCTCAACGCCGACTTTTATGTCATTGATTTCAGGGGTGAATCTTCAAAGCAAAATGGACAAACAGCGAGCATAACATTAATAACCTTACTGATCATAATACTAAAACAATAAAAATAATGTATACTACTCGCGCTACCGAGAAACCAGGCGCATAAAACCAGTTGTCCCCAACCCCCGGGCCTAGGACCCGTACCGGTCCGTGAATCTGGTGATACCGGGCCGTCCAAGAAACATTAAATTATTTCCATTTTATTTCCTGTGGTGTATTTCTCTCGGGATTATGCGACTTTCCATGCACGAAGGGCTAACCAGTACCTGAGCGGCTACGAGCGGCAGCGGCGTTGCAGCTTTGGCGGAGAGAAAGTATGTATCGCTCTTCTCTCGGTTTATTGGTAATTTCTAATGTTTAACAGTGCTTAGTGTACGTGCTTGGTGTATTTTATTTTTTACCCGTTTTTTGTCCACATTTACTATGTGCTATTAAAGATGCTTTGTTTTCCAAATTACATCTCGACCACTTGAGCGCTGCAATTTAACGAACAAGTTAGCAAAAATGGGAATGAACCAGACGTCGTTCGAAATATTCCTTGGGAAAAAGAAACGACATAGGTAAGTAGAAACAATGAGCAACTTTTCTGTTTGTACAATATACAGCATAATGACCAATCCGGTTGCATCGGAAGCAACGGCGGTCATCCCGTCTTCCGGACGCATTGTGTTGTGCCTCTGTTCACGGCGTTTCCCTCAATAGCTATTTCATTATCGGCGATAGGTGGTCCACTTTGCGTTCCAAATCTGACGGCTCGATTCTTCTCATCGTTACAAACTCCGAAAAACTGGGCCACAGCCACAACCTGTTTCGCCTTGCTGTCCCCAACCATGGATGCCAATTTCACTTTATCCTGTATGGGTTTGGACAAACTTCAGACGAATTGTCTTCTGAGTAACCGTTTTCTCGCGTCGCCATCTAATTCCGGAAGCGCAATCTCTAAGTATCTGTTCAGTCTCTGAAAGAACAGCACCAGATCTTTCTGCACCTTCCATTGGGCTGAGTGAAACTGTTCCACCTCTTGTTACCAGTCAATCTCCTTCCCGAACTCCGTACACAATGTCACCCTCATCTCAACAAATAAGCAGCCAGCGCCTAGAAGAAACGCAGATAGTACATGATCGAAACAAGTGATTTTGAAAAAATCTCTAGCAACGTGTTTAACCACCGAACCAGAATCAAAAAGCCAAAGGAACATGGTTTAAAGACACGAGACACAAGAAATGAATAATTTGTAATACAGCAATTTGCAACCGACAGACCAAAATGATGACCAAAGGACCGACAAAAAATTTCGCGTTTCTCTAAAACACAAATTCCATTTAGGCCATGGTAATCTTCGAATCCTGACACTAGACCGAATTTGAGAGAATTCCGAACGCCAATGAGTAAAGCATCTTAGGAAACGAAGCACAGGTAGCGGGTCAATCGCTTTGACGTTCATAATTTAATCGAGTGCGGGCAGGAATGGGCTCCGAATTTGTAGAACTATTAAAACTGTGGTAGAGGGAGTCATTGGAAGCACAAATCTATTTCTAATATCAGATAAAAACGACGTACGTATGATTAGTTCTGGTTGATAGTTTAAGTCAGCCTGGAGAGCGATACGTGATCGCCAACAATATTATCTCCGATGGCTAGGCGAACATGAAGAGTTTGCCAATTAGTATGGGTGTTCACCAATTCAAAATGCACTTGGGTGGATCCTGGATTCATGGCAGCTGAAGAATTATGATAGTGCACAATAGACGTGAAGCTCGGGTGTCAAACCGACAGCATAAGCTGGCATCTGAAACACCGACCAAAAAATGATAGAGTACTGTACTGGGAGACCGTTCAGAAGAAGGTACATCATTACATCTGAAGTATATAGAAATGTGGTCATTTCTGGTCTGCTAGGTCGCGAAAAAACGGTACAACAGCTAATCTACAGGTTACGGGATTTCTTCTTACATACCGCTGTAGGAGCAAACTCAACAATGATCAATGCTAGATTCGTAATGACGCTCAATAACGGACAATGTCCACGTGGATCGTTTAAAAAACCAAATAAATGCCCATTGCTGTACACGATCAAGAAGAGCGAGTTGATAGCACCCAGATGGAAAGCTACGACCGAGTCAAAGTCACTGGTAATCCAATTACAACAGAAGGATTTGCTAGGACATTTCATAATGATTGTTTGGGGGAAACAAATACAGGGAAATAAAATAAGACAAACAAAGAACTGATAATCGGTAACAAAAAAGATACGCTCGACTTTTGTCTAAAAGTCATTAAACGAAAGTTGGATACCCATCAGTGTGGTTGTTCATCTCGTGCGGCAATGTCGCTACCTCGCATCACCTTGTAAAAACGGTACTGATAACGATAAGCCATCTGAACATTATCCGGGGGGGGGGGGAGGGGGCATCTATCTAATTCTTTTTCTGAGTGCGGCATAAACGAGTATTTTGATCGCTAACGGAACCACAAACTTCAGAAATACAGAGAAGAGACTCGGTTCCATGGTTCGCTTCAACCTGAATGATAAGTTTTTCGTCGGCGGGAAATCATACCGGTTCTGGCTGGCGTCACGAACTCTCTATGGGAAAAACAACTTAGGATCGATCTACACAAACTTCCCTATCGGAAAGTCGTTTCTTCTGCGACAGGAACTATAGATTTTTCTCAGCTGCCATCTCTGTCTGTCCGTTGGACAATGGACGACAATTTTCCTTTCTTTGACCGTTGTATGCGAACAA